AGCCTCTGAGCAACACCATGCTCTCGGTCAAAACCAACACCATGGCAACGTTCAGCACAGCCCAGCTCCCACGGGAGAAGACTTTAGTGTCCATCTGTCCCCTATCCAAGAGCCCCCGCCGGTAGACATGGCCACGCCATCGTATACATCGGCCTCGAGAGCGCCCTCACTATCAGCCATGCTCGATCTATCTGCTTTGGAAGCAACGCGTGTGCCCAGTCTGCACTCCGAGGAGAGCGGACAAGATGAGCAGATTGACTTTGACGCGCTGTGGGCCTGGCCTAGTAACACACCTGCGATGGGCAGTCCACGGGCTATGGAGGCGAGCGGGGTGAGCGAGCGGGTGCAGGGTATTAGTGACAGTGCTGTTCCCATGTTTGGGGTTAGTAGACAGGGGACAGATGGCCTTTGAAAGGGTGGACATGGTTTGGAGTTTTGTATTATTTTCGATTCTTTGTGCATACTAAGATATGCATCTGGCTGTTTGTGGTTCTATGTATGCTGGTTCCAGGCCTGTGGTACAGGGCGAAATGCGATGACCCCTCACAGTGATGAGGGCCCCATTTAACTGTTCAAACACTTTTGGTAGTGTCTGAATGCCCCGATTTGTTCATCGCGTTGTTTTCAGCGGTTCCCTTCTCACTTTTCTAACTTGGTAGCCATTCGTGCAAGCACGTGGGCTAGAGGAGTGAAACAGTGACAGGGCGAGTTGAAAACAACGGTGGTCTTCGCGGCCTGTAACGCAATGTGCATCTTTTGTACCGCAGTGAGGCCCTGTTCGACTTTACCAGTAGTGACCCCGCAGTGAGCGCAACCGCCAGGGCGTTTGTAGATTGTAATTTCCTTATGCATAGGATATTCGAATCTGAGTGCCAGTGATTGTAGATGTACGAAGCTCGCTTGCCAGAGAGTTGAGGTAGCGTTGCCATCATGCGGTAACAGATCGAATGTACTAAGTGCGCCATCTCTTCCGAGCGGCGACTCTGGGCTGAGAATGTAACGCATTGCCGAACGTTCAGCAAGCAACGCACTTGTGAACATCGCATACGAGTAGTAGGTATACGTCAATACTTCCATCGTCCTAACGAGGTGTCCACAAGCTGTCGGAGGATGTTGAATGTATGCGCGATAATCTGGAAGGCCCATTTGGATAGTTACCTTGAACACATTTCGCTTATAGTACGTCTCCAAGGCGAGCGCGGTGAATTCGCGGTTCCGGGTGCCGATGATGGACGTAAGATGTTCTGCGAAGAGACGAGAGTGTGCAATCGAATCAATCCCGTTGGTTTGATCAAGGTTATGAGCCAAAATCTCCACATTCAACTCATCTGGAAGCCGCGACCAGCCGTGGAAGGTAGTAGGCGGTTTGGTGGCGGGATCGTCCATGTTGCTTCAGTTGCGCTGAAGAGGAATCTATAGGCCGTGTCAGCTTTTGAATAGAACAGAATGATCAATGAGCTATCGCACCGACGATGTAGACGAGCACTCACCTTGAGATTGTGTTAACGCGCAGACTGTCTGCACTCAAGGATTCGCGCTCACTAATGTGATTGTGAGCCTCGTAGACCCGTATGATGTGGTCTCCTAACCAAGACTCTGGGGCGCTCAGAATCAAGGCAAAGGGTGTGAGAAACTGGCGAAGAGGTGGGTGGGGTTATTTACTGTAGTTGCCAAGCCTAGCTAACCCAGGACTGTGCGCTTCAGGTTGGGAAAGAGCAAACGCTGTACTAGAGTCACTGAAATCTTGAAGAGCACTGTGAGAAATTTTGAAGAGCACTGTGGAATTCTTCTGCTACATGATCGTACATCACACGCGAGCTATCCCTTACAACGCCTCCAGAATGCGCACATCGCTCATCGCTTCAAAGGGTATCGTCTCGCTTCCCGCACCTTGCAACGCCCACTGCAGGGTCTTCTCTACCGCACGTCTACCTGTGTGCTCAAGAGGTAGCCTATACAACGTTAGGATATGCTTGCTCAATACGGGTATTCGGGTTGACTCACCAATGGCCTGCTCCCTTGATAATCACAACCTGACTTCCCTTGACCAGATAGTCGCGAGCGTTGTCAAACGAGAGCCGTTGATTGAATGCAGGGTCAAATTGTCCCATCATGAGTGTCGAAGGGGCCTTCAGCGCGCCTTGTGGTGCCATGCTGGACAGAGTGCCCGATGCGGACAAGGTCTGAGAAGAAGCAGCTTCAGAGGAGATGTTGTACAGTGCGGCAGTAACCTCAAGCGACTTTTCCCACTTGCCGAAAGCCAGGCTGTCGCGATAGATGCGGATCTTCTCAGACATGCCGCGGTCACCTATCCTGCTCTTGACAGACTCGCCGTATCGTTCACCCTTGTCGTTCGCCTTGTCTAGCTGGGCACTTCCGGGGCCAGTAGAGATTGCCATTGCTTCAGCAGCTTCCGTAGGTTCCAGGACAGTAGGATCCTTGCCCTTCTTCGGTGTGCCTTTGCCGAACTGGTGGAGAACACGCAGGAAGAAGTAGTTGCCAAAAGTCGCAAAGACGTTGTGAAGAGGCCAGGGTAGATGGAATACGAAGATGTAGAAAGAGCTTCGGAATTGTCCAGCCACAGGGCCGAGTGCGTGTAATCCATTCTTCAGCAGACGGAAGTTGAACGGAGAGTGTATCCATGTCCTCAGCATTTGCTTCGCCAACAGAATCCTGTTCATCGCGTTCGAGTGTAGTAGAGCTGTGACGGCGCCGCCTGTGATGATCCAGTGGTCAGCCAGGACATGTGCCTCGGAAGCCAGCCGGCCAGCAATGACCGCACCCCAGTCGTGCGACACTACCACTACCTTCTTGCCTTCCGACAGGAACTGCTCTCGTATGCCGACAATGAACTCGCTCAACACCTCGAGCATTTCGTTCGGGCCGTATGCGGACAGACTGTCGGAGCCGCCATAGCCAGGGAGATCGACGGCTATCAGGATGGAGTCCTTTTGTAGGGAAGCGGATTGGAGGAGGTGGCGCCAGATGAGGTAAGAATCGGGGAATCCTGGTCTTTGTTAGTTGCGTAGTCCATTAAAGTTTGGTACCTGCATGACTTTGCTAAGAGAACACATACCATGTAGAAAGATGGTAACGTTCTTCGGCGGTGATGATCCAGTGTCCTGGTTAACGACATAGTGCAGGCGGGTACCGTTGGTGGTTTTGTAGAAGGCATGCTTGAAACCTGGAAGAGGCTCCCGGTCAAGACTCCAGAAACTCTCTTGTGCAGCAGCCAACGCGCGCTTCTCCTCACCGGTATCTTTCGCCCAGAGCGCCCCGTTCTTGATGACTGCCATGGTCCATACTCCGGCAAGGCTGAACAGTCCAAATCCAAGTTTGAAACCGCTCCAAGCCAGACTCCCGAGTTTGTCTGCCATGTTGGCGTTTTGGCTGGAGGTGTGTCGCAGTACAGCTCTGCTCAGTTGTCTGTAGATTAGGCACTCAACAAAAGTTCGTGCACATGTGTTGGTGGTGGTTGTAGTGGAGCGACGGTCCTGTCACATGTAGCGCGAAAGTAGAGTTGAGAAAGTGCGATCAAAAATCAAGGTTGGCTGGTATCCACCCCCGCATGCTGGAAGCAAGAACATAGTCCTGACTGTAGCGGTAGCCCCAGGGGCAGATCGCGATGGCGAAGCAGATGACCCGCGAAACCACGCGGCAGAGACGATCAAGGGTCCTGTGTGTCCATGGAAGCTGCAGTGATGATCGTTGAGGTATGACGCTATTGGCCATAGCTTCTGCTATGCCGCGGACTGACGCAGTCTGATCGGTCGGGTAGCTTCGTCCCCCGGTTCAGGGTGCAGTCGCTGGTCGCCTGGGCACCGGGTTAGGGCGATGCGCGTGCTCTGCGCATCATTTAATTTATGCTTGAGTTGTCACCACTGAGAGCTGGGATATCGTGGGTCTACTCGTCTATCTACGAGATTGTACGCGCAATGCTCGTACGTCTTTAATGGCAATCATGGCATGTGCTCTTATCTTGGATGGGAACAGCAGCCATAGTAACATCTGACGTGTGCGCATAGCGATATCCAATATCGAGGTCCTGCCCTATTGTGCACAATAGCTCGCTCACCTGGGACTCAACGCAGCGCCCCCAAAAACTTTGACATTCCAATGTCGGGTATCATAACAACTCCATCGCAACCTAGCACAGCGACTCCAACATCCACAGGCACAGTGACTCTCAGTTCTCATCTCCTCTTCCCCTTGACCCTCTCCATGACCCTCAACTCGGCACTCCTCTGCAGCCTGAGATCTTCCAACTCCCTCTCAATCCCTCTGTTCTTCTCTACAAGCTCTTTCCTCTTCTCCATCCTCTGCTTAGCCTCCTCCAGCTTGTGCCTCACAACATCTTCCACCACCCTCTCCAGCTGCCCCGCATCCTCGATGCCATGCTCTCTAATGAAGCGGTCCGCGAATTCTTCGATAGTGTGAGGTGATGGCCCTGGACCACCTGTATGATATCCGTTTTGGTGCGTCATGTAAAGCCCAGGCACGGCGGAAGGATGTGTACGTAGGTGGGAGGAGAGCGAGATGGGCAGTTGCGACGCGGAGATTGTGGGAATCTCGTCTGACGGCTTTCGCGGCGAGGGCTGGGGTGGTGGGTTGAGTATGATTTCCATAAGACTGTTCTCAAATGCCTCGTCGTATTGTACTGTGGATGGCGAGAAGTCGACCATGGGGGATGTGAGTTCGGGCTCGTCGCGTGGTGTGAGGGGCGCGTTACCCATTATCGTGTCGTGGTTGCTCATGTTGTCGTCTTCGCGGTTGTAATTAGCCATGCGACGCGTGATGGAGAGAAGCAAGGTGTTGCGATCCGAAGTTTGTTGAATTGAGGGGATCCGTCTCGAGACTGTCGCGATGATGGGGCTGATGCCGCATGACTAAGCCCAAGTTCCGCAGCACCTCCGCGGTCGCGACTCGCCCAACTTTTGCCTACCAAGCCCAACACCAACCCAGTCGCACATCTCCAAACAACCGACCGAACTCCGTACATCATGGCCGACAAACTGCGCGCGCAGCAACAACTCGAGGCTCTCCAGGCCCGCTACATCGGTATCGGAAGCGCAGACACTACCAAGCACGAATGGACATCCAACATCGCGCGCGACTCGCTCTCGAGCTACGTCGGCCACCCGCCTCTTCTACAGTACATGAGCATCGGACTGGGACAGCCGCGCGAAAAGACCCGGCTACAGTTACTAGAGCGCATGGTCAGGCCTGTCGGGCCTCCGCCTGAGGTGAGTAATGGAAATGTTGAGTTTTAGAAGTAATGAGCTAACAGGAAGTAGCAACAAGATTGATCGGGACACTCTAGAACGACAGACTTGATTATGGAGACATGCGGAGAACGAAGATCCAAAGCGAAAGCCGCTTTCCATCCCCAGCACGAATGCGCGCGAGGCCGGCTCGTGGATGAAGAGGAACAGATGGGTACATGCTGCTTGTCTATGGCTATCAAAGCCGATACTATGAAGTCGTTCAGTAGCGTAGCGCACGCTGAGTGCCGGTAGTGAGGTGTACACACCTCGGCCTCTCTCAAGAAACCCCAATTGCCACCATAGCCGGGGCCCAAAGTCTTTCTCCAACTCGTGCTTTCCCATGAGTGACTTCTCAATCGCTATCGCTAGCGCTTCCTGTTGGGCCATCATCGTCGTCGTCTTCCACCACGTCACCGCCCATCAGCATGGAGACTTCACCCTTTTGCAGCATGCTCTTCAGCTCAGTGTTCCTCGGGTCCACCAACTCAATGGGCTTGAGCTTCGCCTTGTTCCTTATTCTCGGATCGCATCCTGCGTCTAGAAGCATGGCCACGATGGAGTGTCCGTGGGGCCAGACGGACTTTTCGAGCGAGTTGACGTAGCGTACGGCTTTGTGAAGGGGAGTATCCTGCTCCATGCGGTCGATCTCGTCGATCTCAAGACCGTCTTGGTCGAGAAGCATGTCGATGACTTCGACTGTGACAGATTTAGTCAAATCATGCCTCGCGTGGCGTGCGACAAAGACGTCCTAGTGCTGCGCCGCTGGGATAGATACTTACAGCTTCCGTATGTTGCCGCGACGTGAAGGCAGCCGTTACCCACGCCGTCGCGTGTGTTGTTCAATGTTTCGGCGACATGATCCTCTGGCTTCTTCCCTGATTTCGAGGCAGCAGCAGCAAGGTCTTTCAGAGTTTCCTCAAGCAGCTCGGTGTTGTTGCGTCGGCACGCTTCGAGGACGAGTTCACGGGGGGAAGCACCCTACATATTGGTCAGCAGTGGCAGGCGCTGGATATGCATGTGTATGCACCTCTTCGTCCGCCATGGTATGTGGTGTTGAGGATGCGTCGGGTGACTGGGCAGGGACGGCGGTCCAGTCAGGTACGCGTGAATGTTTCGAGCTGTGGTTTGGCGGGGTACTCGGAGGTGCTAACGGAAAGCGAACAGGGCAGGGCGGTGTGAAGAAGTGAAGTATCTCTCTAATACGGCGATAAGGACGCAGGCGACGTCGACAGGCCAGCGTGCATAAGCCCCAATCTGAGACAGTCCGCTCCCAAGTGCGCGTCGCCGGTGGCTTTTCGCTGCTACACTGTCGCCCCGCACTTTGCCGTTCCCAGCCCTAGCGGGCCAGGGTCCGTCATAACTTTTGATCTTCTTCGCGCTCGGCTTCACGCGTCCAACTTCTCTTTTGCTTACTGCCGCCCACCATGTTGCTTTGTAAGTCCCATACTCACATATCCGCATGTTCCGCATGTGCCTGCTACATGGCCATCTCTACAGCTCCACGTCACACTTCAGCCACAGCTGACTGCCACAGTTTGCCCAACATGCAGCAATATGCTGCGCGTCTCCAAAGTACCTCCCGGCGATCCCACCACCGAAGACGCTGTCGGCCAAAACCGTTTCGAATGCCTTACCTGCCCCTACCACTTCGTAATCAACAAACGCTACTACGAGCGGAAATACCTAAAGAAGAAGGAAGTCGAAGACATCCTGGGTGGAAAGGGCGCCTGGGATAATGTGGACAAGACGGAAGGTGCGCTCCGATATTTCAGCTGCAACCAGGGCCCCAAGATTGCGCCATCTTGGGCGCACGTGCTACACCTGTTGGCATCGCTGACAAGTACACAGTACAATGCCCGAACGAGAAGTGCCGGAACCACGAAGCATACTGGTACCAGCTGCAGATCCGAAGTGCCGACGAGCCCATGACTGCTTTCTACAAGGTACGTCACATATCCGACTTCCTCAAAACCCCCACTGACCTGTTCCAGTGCACCCAATGCGCGAAAGAGTGGCGAGAATGATCTGCGAGTCCTGTTCAAATATCCAAGGAGTTTGGAAGCGGAGTTCTTGTCTTAGTATACCCCGGGTGCATTTGGTGAATGAAGTCCATGTTCTCTTTTGACTTGCAGGTGCCAGTCGCTGTGAAAGGCTCAGGATGATTCAGATTCCCGACCCCGAATCGGTTCATACTCGTGGTGATCATCTCACGACAACGTCGATGCATCTCCATCATCGACCCGCGCAAACCAAAACTATGCCCCAGTTTGAGTCACAGGCGCATCCTGCACTGGCTGGCCCGTGCCGCAGGGTGGACGACCTCGCAAGATGGCGCGGATTCCTACCTATTCCTCTCTCTCCCATCGTTGCTTTCGGGCCTCTTGCAAAAGCATGCAACTATCTCCCGACTCTGCTGATAGACCTTGCCTCATCAACCTTCATCACACCCGCAAGCCCTACCTACCACCGAGGTCGGGAACCTATGCCAGGATGATGGCTCAAGGTACCGACACCGAACAACCAGTCATACCAGTTTCTCGGTCATTCCACGCCTGGGCGCGACTTCCTGATGAGCTCAAGTGCGAAGTTCTCTCGCACAATCTAACCCTGGATGGAAGAATCGACAAGAGGAAACACGCCCAGTGTCTACAGTCGGACCTGTTCCCACTCTTGGCCACGCGCAACCGTCATCTAGCCAACATCGCACAAGAAGTATATTACAACAAAAATGTCTTCGAGCTGTGCATCGGGTGTCGCATGCAAACAGGCGACGTCGAACTTGGCAAGGGCTATTCGTTTTCCCCTGAGGACCGCATCAGCGGTCTCTGGTGTCCCAAGCCACATACGGCTGCCATGATACGTCATCTGCATATTGTGGCGATGAATTGCAAGGTCGGTATAGAGAAGGGACTTATATGTGCCTCGCACTCGACGAGTTGGATGTACCTTATAGATCTACCTTCCCGAGACTATTGGATTAACGGTACCAAAGATGATGCACCTCGCGCCAATATAAACCCTGGATGGCAAGAACGCTTCGTCAACCTACATACCCTTGGGATCGAGTGGCGTCTTGAACGCGATATCATGCCCGGATGCTTTCTCGAGGATGGCATAGGAGACACGTTGAGAGCTTGTATAGAAAAATCTGGGATACGTCTCCGGGCATCGAAGGTGGAGTTTACGGTCCGTGATACGTACAATGGCCGCCGGTTCTTGTGGCACTATCATCCTTGCGAGCAGGATCATACCGAAGTCTTTCAACATCTAAAAGACATGATCATGGGCAAGAAATCTTGAGTCATGCTACCAATCATTGGGGGAATTGCAGGGGCGGCACCGGGTGGTGTTGAACATGTAGGATGAGCGGAAAAGCTACAAGGTCTGGACGTGCAAGATTCTCGTCTCAAGTTTCCAATAGCTGCTTTGTACTATCCATAATGCTAATGAATACATCCTCATTGACCAAACCCAGGCATGGCTGAGACTCACGTCCAATCAAGAAGCTGATCATCTTCCTCTGTCGGGACGACCAAGACCCTCGCCACATGCGGCCATAACACAAAATCCCACAACCAATAGCCCTCCTCATTCAGATGCACGTGGTCGTCAAGCATATTCTTGATGAACATGTGCCTCGTATCAACCCACTTTACCTTGTCCTCGCGATCCCGTTCAGTCTGAGCCTCATATCTCTGCAGCTCGTGCTCCTTCTCAACCCGAAGAGCCCCGTTGATCTCTCCAACAACCTCCCTTAGCATCTCATTACTCTGATCCACAATCGCATCAGGTATATCCAGTCTATACGAAATATCGCAAGCCAACACCGTACTCTCCGGTGCAATCCTCAAGCATGCCTCCATCAACACTCTCCAGCTCTCCACATCCTGCTTTTGAAACGTACGCTTCTTTTGCAGATTGTTCGTCCCGGAAGCCACGATCCAGAGTTTGATGTCGCATACGTCTTTCTTCGCCGTCTTGAGCAAGGAGTAAAGACCTCCCGCGAGTCGGTAGGCGACGTTTTGATTGCTGTCGCCGCCTACACCGGCATTCCATGCGACTCCAGTGTCTCCGAGTTTGCCGATGTCGGTGGTGATACCGCTGGTTTTGAAGCGCTCGAGCATGGAGTTGCCGAGGTAGACGACACTGATGGGAGATGTGTTTGCGAGGTTTGGTACGGGCGCGTCTGGTGCGGGGGGAGAAGCATCTTCGCTAGGTGTAGGTAACGGGGTATCGAGTTGAAGTCGCGCGATGAGTTCTGGTACGTGTACTTGGTGGTGCGTTTGGTGCGAGCGTTCCTTGAACTTGGCGAAAGACTGAAGCTTTTCTAGGAACTCGGCATCAGACAGGTGCAGGAAGTTTGTCTTCGCGTCTTTAGGTATGCTGGACGCTGCATTGCTCTGTTGGGCGCTGGAAGACATTTTCGGGTTGACTTGAGTGTTAAGGTTTTGCGAGGTTCAACGGCGCGATGTTTCGTTGGTGTAATTTGTCGAAGTAGAAGTTGCAATGAGAGCAGGATGTATGCGAACCGCTCGATTGGGGTGAGCGTGGGATGCGACTGCTAATCTGTGGTTAAGGGTAGAGAAGGCGACGAATCAGCGCGTAGATATCAACAATCGTTCCTGCTTGCAGCTAGATTGCGGCAGCAGGAAAGGGCGTCACAGTTTTAAGGGCTGATGCGTTAGAGGATCAATGAGAATACCTTCGCGACCATGCATCTGAGTATCTAACTTTATACACCTAGAAGCTCGCTCACTCGCTTGTCAAACATGCATCTCGTCTAGATTGTTTGGGTGAAATGAAACTTCCCCACGTCCAATAGCCTACCGGTCCATCTTTCAAGTTCATAAGAAGGAGCGCATCATATGTTCACCGCCACGTTGCTACTTCCGAACTGGATAATCTGCCCACATATGGTGCCCATACGGCGAGTCCTTTGGCCGAGTCGACACGGTCTTGATCGTCACACGGTGCTGGTATTGATAAACGCCCGCATAGGCAATACCGGTGACGAATTTCGACCTCTCTGTAACGTATTGCGACCTCTCGTCTATGTCTTTGTCGTCAAATATACAGAAGCGTTGCCATCGTTCTTCTCGAGTTCCGTTGGCTTTCAGGTCAAGCTGCTCACAATAAAGTGATTCCACCGCTTCGATACCGACGTCGCTTGATCCGAATGTGACTGATATGATGGTCAGATGGCGCGTGGGAAAGTGGATTGGGCCGAGTCGCTGAAAATGCGCCTCGAAATACGACCTCGGTTCGTCGTCCTCCTGGGTGTCGAAGAACAGACACTCCGGGTCGAGGTTGACCGTCAAGTAGTGTAAGTTCGGAAATGTTGACCCATCCGATATATCCCTCAATAATTTTAGATGATGAGGTCTGTTATAATCGAGGTTAATCTCGAGACGGCGAACAAACGGCCTTACAACAGGTGGGGGACAGTAGCAAATATCCCTGTTCGAAGAGGGGGTGTCATTGGACAGCATCGCCGTTCGATTGACCCCATAGAAAGCTTCCAGAACAAGGTGCTTGATTTCAGGAATAGAGAGGAGGGGCATCACTGTCTCTTTCAGAAATCGTCTTGTCTCAAGCGTACCGTACTGGAAAAGATTGATTTCGAAACAGTCTTGGGGATAACAGAGATAATGGAGGTCGCATTTATTGAGCCAAGCGCAGGCTGTCACGGCTGTTGGAGTGTGGACGGTGTAGCGTAAGATGAGCAGCTTCAGTTCTCCAGGGAGGCTGTGGAAACCTCGGAGGAATGAGTCGGTTTCGGTTGTCATATTGGTAGTCGTCATTCTTGGTTGGGTGATGATTCTCGTATGGTGTGAAGGCGTTGATGATATGAGCAAAATTTATGTATAGAGTAGTGGCCTCAGAGCGGGACGCAAGGCAGGTACCACCTGAGGTCAAGTCCGTGCAGCGCGACTCACCAGGCAGGTGCAAAACTAACATTGTGCAGTGAAACGCTTACAAGGTCCTGAATGGCAGTGAAACTTCGGTGGGGTTGAGATTAAATAGGCTTACGATCTGCGCAATAACGACTATAATATGAAAAGCTCCTGGGAAAGACGTTCCTTATCGAGGTTGAAAATTGTTGTATACATGACAGTCAAGACGCTACCGCTCATGTCCAGGACATGCTCTCTGACGACTTGATGGGAATTATGCGCCATGACACCAGCCCGTATAACCTTTGGAGCTTGTCCTAATAGCACCTTCACATGTCCCACGCTTCTGTCACTCTGCCACGTCAATTCGGCGCAAAGCCGACAAATATCCCTCGTTCAAGCAGTCAAAATGCGCCTCGGAGGAGAAACGCCCCAGAACAGTGGTTCGAGGCCTTATAGTCCTGGAGACAACTCTCACGTTGTATAGTGACTCGGAATCGGCGGTCCTGTCATACCGATAATACCACGTTCGATCGTGCGCTCGCAATGACCGTCACAGCGAGTGCGCTCATGCGCATGCTCGACTTCGACCTGGATGTTCTTGGCCTGCAACAAAAGGCGCGCCTGCTCTGGCAGTCTCTCGAAGAAAACGCTTGAACCTTCTGGAAGACAGCAAGGCAAGCGAATCACAATGCGGAGTTGTTTCAACGAGGTGAAGTATCTTCCCCAGCCAGCCTTGGCCTCACCGTCATTTGCCCACAAGTGCGGCTCCTGAAACCTGCCTATCAGAAACATTGACGTTGTGTGCCCGGCTCTGAAGGACGCGCGGCGAGGATGAGCTAGGACATCTAGTTGCGAGCCTTGGCAACCGATGCAGTAGAATGGCTTCAAGGGTAACTCAAAAGTGTGTATTTCGATGTGTAGCTCGAGCTTCGTAACAAGATGTGCGATGGCCTTAGATGGATAGCGGAACCACAATGGGGCGCAATAAGGTTGTCGTAGATAGCGCGCAGTTGGAATGCCTGTCCGACGTGACTCGGGAATAACTAACCAGGCCAACTTGAATGTATTTTCATGGTAATAGATCTGGAAAGCAATACTACACAGTTCTTTATTGGCAAGCGCGGTGTTCAGAAAGCGGGGTCCGTAGATAAAGTCATGGCTACGACAGGTGACACTCCAGGGAAAGCGGAGATGGTGTCGAAAGATCTCAAGCTTAAGCTCCTCCGGAAGGTCATTGAAGCGATCGAATTTGACATCAGTGTCGGAAGAAGTAGTGGAGAGGAGTAAGTTCTCAGGTGAGTCCTTAGGGACGGAGATGGCGGGTGGGAGATGGACGACCGAATCTTCGGCCATGTTGTCTTCGGCGATTTCGAATCTTGGCTTCAGCGTCGAGGGACTGACGGGGTGGGAGGTTGATTGGGTGCGTACTTAGCAGCTAGGCAGCTTGGATATGTTGTCAGTAGAGCTGCTGGATACCCACCAGTATTGAAGTGGACAAGGAGCTCAGTCTGTGCGCCCTCCACGGTCTATTCCACTTCAAAACAACGCTGCTTGACCAATCAGATGGGCAGTACCACGACGTCAGCTGTCGGACAGTTTCTCAGGCAACGCAGTGACGCTTTTGCCGAGGAAGGGGACAGTGCCAAAGGTCTCGTGCGATCTACAGTAATGCCGATCCCCGCTCGGTAGCGGCTAAGTTCGCTCAATCTACATCTGCTTCATTCTCAATGGTAAGCTCTACCATACCATTGACCGAACATGTGTCTGGCCGAATGAACCAGCGAGCGGCGGCCATGCTGACTGTGCCTGCACTCATCGCCAGTGTCGCAATGTGCGGCTTCGGTAGCTCTTCTAGCACAGCCTGGTTGTCTCTCGGAAAGTCCGCTGCCTTTGCAGACCGCGAGTAGAAGATACGAGATGACAGAAAGGGTACATAAGTACTGAGTCGGAAGAATCGCGGGTGATGACTCTCGGCCTTGGAGGTTGATGTGTCAGATCGTTGTCTTGATACCTTCTTGACATTGACGTCCTGAGTCTGCACAATGTCACGAGCTTTCTTTGGAATGACGAGCGACTTCCGGGTCTGGTTTTGACTCCTTCTCTGGTCGACAGGTAGGGTTGAAACAGTGTTGTCGGCAACAAATGGACTGACAGAGGCTACGTCTAGATCCATTACGCAAGGCTGCCAGCTCTCATTGAACTCCACGGGCTCGAACGATGCGCCTTTATTGCGCATATAGCTCTGCTCGATGACACCAGAGCCTCGCAATAATGTTGGCTGTGAAGCGCCATGAAAGTTGTGCAAATGCTGGAGGAAAGCGTCTTCAGATGTGTAAAACTCTTGATTGCACGAGCGATACCGATGGTAGTTCTGCGCATGTTCGACGTGGAACGTTCGATAGCCGGAGCCGCAAAGGTGACAATGGTGAGCTTTGGCCGAAGGAAAGTCTGGACACAGGGGCGGACCTGCATTGTCTGCAGCAACGTCGTCGAAGCTCCGGAGAAATCGACAGCTCCACACACGACAGTGAGAGTGTTCGTTCATATCTTTGACATCCGTAAAGACCTTTTGGCAGTATCGGCATCGGAAGGATTCGTATGGTGTAGTCGAGTAGAGGTTCTCCAAATGGTTTTCCTTGCGCTCGCTCCACCACACAGCACGGTCAAGCTCACGCGCGACGAGGTGCTCAGCAACATGCTCACATCGTTCGGACCAGTCTTTTGACTTCTTTCCGCAGAAGCCACAATGAAGCATAGGATCGTCAAGCTTCATTGGAGCACCGAAGCGACGCCACTTCATGGCGAGGTCCTTGCAACCAAAGTTGTGGCCTTCAGCGGCTAATAATCGAGCTTGACAGCCGGTACGTACGGACGGATGTTTGGTGTTGGCGAAGTGAACATGGTGCAGATGCTGGATGAAGTGATCGCGGCGATAGAAAGTTCGTTGGGATTCGGGCTTGCTTCGGCATTGTTGGTACTTGTGGCCAGCCAGGTGAGCATCGTCGGGATGGGCCTGGCCGCAGAATGGACATGCTTCAAGATTTTCGGATGACTTTGTGTCACAGCAAATCCAAGTGGTTCGAAGCGCGTGGACAGAGTCTTCGTGGCGTATCCATTCATACTTCGTCTTGAATGCCCGCGGACAGAAAGTACAGAAAAAAGGCAGATCTTTCTGGGGTTCACCTGCACTGTTCACACCGTTAATGGCTTGGCGAGGAGATTCTTTCCACGCCATCCGACGTCTACCTCGGCGGCGATCACGACCAAAGGACGAGGTTTTACTGCGGCTACCGCTGGAAGACACTGTGTATGTTGTGGGGGCAGTGCCTTCAGAAGAAGCAATCGAGGTGATGACGGAACCTCTGCGACCTTGTCTGGACTCAGACCATCCACTATTTGGGATGCTTTCGTTGAGAGACTCAACATCAACGGCAGCCTGTACTGCAGACAGTTCAACAGCTTCCTCTTGGTACGACTGTGCAAGGTATACCGCCAGAGGCGGCTGCGGCAGTTGATTGGCGTCATCTGCTTGCTTTTGGAGGCTTTCCAGACTATCTTTTGACAGCTTTGTCTTCAGAGTGCGATTGCTCTGGCCTGAACCATCCTTTACAGCAGGATGGGAATCTGAACAGGTAAGTCAAAGCATGATCTCATGGAATGGGATACGACTCACCTCCACACTTCTTCCTGGCTCGGGTGTTATTGAACCAGTTGCGGACTTTCTTCACGTCGAGATTGGCTTGATGTGCGATGATGTCCAATTCCCACGCGCAGGGGTACGGATTGGCCGCAAATTCGTCCTCCAACACCTGCCTTGCCTCAAGTGGAATACGGCACTGAGGACCCTTACGTTTGGCTGATGCTGGTTTCCAAGTGGCAATTGAAGGTTGTTGCTGGGATGCGGCCGATCTGACTGGTAGCTGCTCCAGTGCAAGGGAGGCATCGGCCGGAATCATTGAATGATCGAGAGCTGAAGGACGTAGCCCAAGCTGAGAGTGCGGCGCATCAATTAAGCTGCCTTCATCATCGCATTGCATTAGCGCAAGTGATGACAATGAAGGCGGGAGAGCGAGATCCGTCGCGTCGCGGATCCTGTGGTCCTTCGCATGTTCCATATCAACCGTTTGCCAATCGACGTCTGCTCCTGGGTCTACACTCGTTTCAATCATAGACGTCGCTGCATATGTAGTTGGGTGAGATGTTGGCCATTGCTGGTTTATATCGGCAGAGGAGAGATCGTGTGCCACGTCGTACATGGGCACGTCGTACAATTGGAGGGTATTTTGGGCCGCTGGTTCCAAAGCGAAGTCAATAGCCGTGACATTGTCTGGTTGAAAGTATGGCACCGTTTGCTCACTTGAGGCATGGGTGTGTTCGACTTCGTTGTTCTGTTCAAGAGCGGCGAAATCGAAGAAATCGTTCATCCTGTCGAGCGCGTCGGGATCCATCGTGACGCGTCTAGTGCGGCCCTGGTGGACGCGCTGAGAGTGGTTTATCCTGGAGCCAGGCAATTTGTCATTGGCAGGTCAATAGGTCCGAATCGAAAAGAGAGACATCTGATGTTTGGGGGTCGCATGACAGAACGTGGAAGCCGGCTTGACGCTGATGAGGTTGAAGGTGCTGCGCCGTCCGTCGTCTATTGATGAACTGGGTGCGCCCGGGCGATCCTCCAGGCAGCCAACACTAGTCAGCTCATGCTGTGTGACGAAGAGACCGGCGTTTTCCTAGCATGATAGCAATTCATCAAGGCGATCTTGACAAGTAAACCTCACGGCACGGATTATCAGGATCTGCTCACTCGCGACTTTGATGCTGATATTAATCACGGTCGGCATCTGTCCGCGTTCAGGCCGGGAAGGCGCCACCATCCGATGTCGTTAGCGTGACTTCCTGACCCACCGAAAAGTTCCTCCACCCGAAAAGCTCACGACATTCGCAACTTCACGCGCATTGATCGCATCCAACTTTCACAATGGCGGCCGAAGTACAACTCCTGCAGCCCTTGAAGCTGCCAAAGGGGCCTTCCACCCTTACGTCTGAGCAGAAGTACTGGAACTCATTCGCCTCGGAGCTCAAACTCGACCCTTCGCAACATTCCTCGCCCGTAACTCACATCTCGATACCGCCCCCTCAGCCCGCCAATACGCTTTCGGCCACCCAGGATCTCTTCGCAGTCACCACGGGATCTCGCGTCCAGATTTTCTCATCCAAGAGCCGAAAGGTCGTCAAGACGATATCGCGCTTCGGCGTCGACGACGTTGCGCATTCGGGAAACATACGGCGCGATGGCAGGATTCTGGTCGCAGGAGGAGATACTGGTGTCATACAAGCGTTCGATGTCAAGAGCAGAGCCATCTTGAAGACATGGAAGGAACACAAGCAGCCCGTCTGGGTCACACAGTGGAATCCCACAGATCTCACTGGCCTGATGAGTTGTTCCGACGACAGAACCGTGCGATTATGGGACCTGCCGAGTGAGAAGAGCGTCATGAAGTTTGACGGGCATCAAGATTACGTGCGCAGCGGCACCTTCATGCCTGCGCAAAGTGGGCTGCTCGTATCTGGAAGTTACGATCAGACGGTGCGACTCTGGGATTCGCGAGTAGGCGGAAAGGCGGTGATGGTGTTCAAACACGCTGCGCCCGTCGAGACTGTCCTCCCTATGCCGTCTGGAACGGCCGTCCTCGCGGCAGCCGACAATGTCATCAGCGTTCTCGACATCGTGGCCGCAAAGCCGATCCACATGCTGCGCAACCACCAGAAAACTGTGACCGCGCTCTCACTAGCGAACAATGGCGAACGCCTCCTCTCCGGTGCTCTCGATGGCCACGTCAAGGTCTTCGAAACAACAGGCTGGAACGTCGTCGGTGGGATGAAGTACCCTTCGCCTATCCTGTCGCTCAGCGTCATCCCGAACCAAAAGGAGGACAGACACATTGCGGTGGGTATGCAATCCGGTCTTCTATCGATCAAGACACATCTTTCCGGCGAGCAGAAGGTTCAGGCTCGTGAGCGAGAGAAGGAGATGAAAGCGCTCATGGAAGGCAAGATCGAAGAGTACGACAGGAGCAAGAAGCGGAAGCGTGGAAAGGGCTGGGAAAAGCGCATCCGAGGCAAAGACTTCACCGGCGAGAGCGCAGACATCGTGATCGAGGGCAATGCGCGGGGAAAGATCACGGCCGGACAACCGTGGGCGCATGCGCTGCGAAAGGGCATGTACGCGCAGGCGCTGGACATGGTGCTCGAATCAAAGGTATGTTTTCCATTCTCCTGTACACCCCTGAGACTAAGACTAACATCTCTCAAGGACGCAAATGCCCGCAGCCAGTCCCTTACCCTTCTGACCGCTCTACGCCACCGCTCTGCTCTCCGAACTGCTCTCAGCAATCGCGACTCCGTAACACTCCAACCCATCCTCCGCTGGTGCATAAAGAATGTTTCCGACTACCGCATCACACGTCTGACCACCGACGTCGCGCTCGTGGTCCTGGACCTATACGCCGATCAACTGGGCAGAAGCGAGGAGGTCGACGATCTAATCATGGCGCTGATGCAGCGAGTCAAGGTGACCGTCGAAGCAAGCCAAGACGCATGGAAGGTACGTGGCATGCTAGATATGCTCGTCAGCAGCGTCGGCGCAGCAGACGGCGTGGAAGTATGAGAATGGTAAAGGGATCTTTTGTTTGCATAGCGAAGGCGTTTAGGATCTTTTCACATGTTCAAAAAGTTGAAAAGGCAGCAGCAGCCATGTACGTTATGCACCTTGGATGGGTGATAGAGAGATACCCGGATAAAGCGATTGGTATTGCTTTGGATGATGGGGAACGGTTGATCTTGAATGGTATATTGTACAAGCCAGTTTTCTTCCACCGGCAATATATGCTATACACTGAATTCGTACAATCGTTTACCACAGGCAGTATTGCCGTTGTGATGTGACGGGTCGGTCGGGAAGTGCGGTCCACAGCTTGCGGTTGTCGCGCTTCTTCTGAATCTCGTCTGAGATGCGCAAGCGCGTCTTCTCTTCCTTGAGAAGAACGGAGAAACCTGTCGTGCACTGTTAGCGCCCGATCCTCCGAAATAAAGTGTGTGACAAGCTCACTCGTCGTCCGGTGCTTCAGCATGTTGATAGCACCCCGCGCCCTGAACTCAGGGGTCTTCCAGCTCTGCCCGGGTCCCACCCACGCCTGGTCAATGTATATCTCGCTGGGATCGCGGACCACCTTCTTACTCCCATCCTTCAACTGGATCGTCGTGTCCTTGAAGAAAGGCACCTTGACCGGCTTCGCCTCCAGACTGCCATTCGTTTTCGACGTCTTGTAGTCCCAAGTATCCTTCGGTCTCCCCGCATCCGTAGCTGCTCTTTGCTTTTTCCAACGCGACACCGCAGCGTCTTCGCCAGCGAGACCCATGCCGCGGGCCGCAATGGCTTCGTTCTGCGCAATTTCGAGGCCCTTGATGACGTCGCGGGCCACACGTTTCGGGGAAAAGCGGAGTTGGACGAGGGCTTCCGAGACAGTCTTTCCGGCGATCTGGTTTACGACCTTCTGCAGCTTCTTGGTAGACGTAGGAAGGAGTTGTGACCTGTAGACTGACTGGCGTTCGGTACGGAGTAGCTTCTGCGCCTTTGTCATGCGGCCGTGGCGCTTCACGCCGGAGATGACTAGTTTGCGCTCGAGACGCCTGCGGGCTTTCTGGTCGGGATCGAGTGACATATCCATGAGCTTCTTGTCCTCCTTAAGCGCCTCTTGTTGCTCTCCCTTGCGGTATTTCGCCTTGAGTTCGAGTTTCTCCTGTGGGCTCAGGTCTGGCCGCCAGCCGGGGATGTCGCTTTCGGGTGGGAAGAGGGAAGTTGGGGTTACGGCGAAGTCTCCTTCACGAGGGGTGGGGCGTGAGGGCGCTGCCGACGCGTCTGTTCCCTTCGCACCTGTTCGTTTTGCCCTCTTCGATAGGTAGTCTTCGAGGATCGGGTTGGTGAGGTCATCGTTGTTATTCTTGACCCCTCTGAACTCGGCAGTGCGATGAGCGACTGAAGAGAAGGTATCGAAGAGCTCATCGTTGTCTTTCTTGCGCCCGAACGAGATATTGCGCTGTGAGATTGAAAGGATCGAGGTTAAGGGTATCCATTGGGTGTGTGGGCGCGCGGCGAGGGCTATTCAATGTTAGTCGTCATGGTGTTGTACCGCCCGGAAGAACGACTAGCGCTCCGATAGGTGCGGAGAAAATGGTGCAGGGGATCAATGTTCCCAGTAATAGCTTACCTGACTGCCCCAGCCGCCGTGAGGGTATCCGGGCGCTCATAGCGATGCTCGACACCACAGCGCTGCGGCGTTGATGATGCCAATGCTGTGAAGTGTCGCGGGAAATTCTGTGGCACGGCGAAAGGCTCCGCGCTGGCGCAGGGCGCTTGCAGGGGGCTGGCTTGGCAGCGGGATCATCATTGAACCAGAGCGATCAGAACGCAGAAGAAATGTGCAGGAGTCGTGTCGTCCCGCTCCTGTCCAGACCACCGTCGACTCTAGACTCTTGACCCCGTTGCCTGACGCGCATTCCGTGACGCGCCAAACATCGTGCTGTACCGCCGCCAACTCACTCCGGGAGTCCGCATCCAGCTGCTCCGAGTCGCGACGTGCTCGCTCCATCATTACTCGATTAGTCGCAGGCCCAAGCTTGCCTGGTGCACCTAACCACCTTTTCTTCTAGACCGGGTGTAGGCCTTCTCACCCACGACGCCGACGAGGTCATCTCCCATCACACTCGCTATCCCCATCGCCTCGCGCCTCCGACGGTCCTTTTCGCGCCAAACGCCCGCCGTCGTCCCATGCCGCTCGTTACGAGGGACCCGATGCCTAGTAGTTTCTGCAGCTCGCGACCATAGGAAGAGAGAGCATCGACAGACGCCTGGCGCGCGTGTAGCATTCAAGACAGCTGCTGGATCGCAGTGCGTGCCAAACGAGGGCAAAAGGTCGTGAACGCTGTACACCATGGATATCAACTCGCTATTATCGCCGTCGGACTCGCCTGCGGGCACCCCAACACCACAAGCCGCCCCTACCATCCCGTCGCCGTCACTACTCCGATCCCCGGGCAAGCGCACAAGACGCCAGATGCCATCGCGAACACCTTCGGGCCTAAGCCAACAGATCAGGTCCTCCCCGCAGCCGCCCCAGACGCTCCAACAGCGTGTGCCGTCCCCGGGATACGCCCACATCGCGAACGGCGCAAGAGGAGTACACAGCACAATGGGAACGCCACAACAAATAGCATCGCCGCATGACGCGCGCATGACGACCCCGAACCCCATGTACCGCCAAACATCCACACCGGGCATGGACACTCTTGCAGGTACGTGCCCGCTTTCTTTGGGGTAGTGGCACAGTGCTGTAGACGGCCCCCATATGAGGGAGCCGCAGCTCAGATGCAGGGAGGAAAGAGCTACGACAAACGACGATGGGTCGCTAGCTCCCAGGGAATCTGCTAACAACTTTCAGACCTTGCCAGCATGCAGCAACAACAAGCTGCGCGCCAGAACTCTGTAGTCCACCAACGGCCTGTCACGTAAGTTCTTCATCTTTGCTGATTTTTCTCGTCCGCCCCATTTCTGAGCCGACGACTGCACCTGCATGTCCACAAGTAGCGCGCTTTGTGTTTTGTGGGGCAGGCAGTGACGTCCGGGTGTCGCGCTTGCCCGTGATCACGGGTTGCTGTAGCCCGTTCCGGCAGCCTAGTTTTGTCGCGCAAACTCCACCACCAAACACTGACCACTTGCCAGACTGCAACACCTCGGACAAAACCTCTCCGGCGAGTCCGTAGCTAGCATCATGTCCGAGGCCTCACCGCGACCGCGCAATTTCATCACTCGCTCTCTCGACCAACAGCACATCGACTGGCTCAACCAACTCGATAAAACGCTGCTGGAAAACCCATTCGACTACTACAGCCATGTTTCGCTCGTCACCATTCTACACCAAGGGCTCCAAAAACACCTCGCTTCGTTCGACTCCGACCCAAACGCGTACGACCCAAATGCGTACGAGTTGGTCCAGACTCTGCGCGATGCCTACAAAACCATCTCAGACAAGTATCCGCTTGGCGAGCTCTTGTGGCATTACCGGCTGAACGACGAGAAGACTCTGGCCAAGGATGTGGAGCAGCGCATGGGTGTGCTCGAACTGCACAAGCAGGCAACACAAGAGGAACCTTACAGCGCAAAGCTTTGGGCAGCATACGGCGAGTATGTGAGCTACCTGGTCGCCTGCTCTTGGGAGCAAGTACCCCCAGAGGAGTGGTCTGAAGAGGAGAGGCTTATTGGTCGAGAGCTCTTCCAACCCCAACTGCTACTGGACGCGCTGCAAGAAGGTGCTGAGAGAGTCAAGTACAACCTCCAAGAGAGCAATCTCGTCTGGGACCGCTACCTGCAGGTTTTGGAAGAAGACCTCGAGCGAGGAGGCTTCAGCCAAGAGAAGGCGAAGAGGGTAGCCGCCATCTACAACGACCGCCTCGGCCAACCACATGCAACATGGGCGAACACCCTTAGCAGATACTCTTCTTTCAATTCTCGCTACAATCAAAGCCACTACGAGCAGGTTATGGATGAAGTGGTGCAAAAGAATACACACATCAAGCAGCAATACGCCAACCGCGAAGAGTACGAGTTCAAACTCCTGCAGGCTATCCAAGCAGGCGACCAGGCTGCAGAGTACACCGCCATGACACGCTACTTGAAATGGGAGAAGAGGACTATGGGTGTCTACAGCTTCCATCTCGTCAACGCACTTTATGAGCGAGCCACGCTCCGATTTCCCGTTGATCCTTCCATATGGGAAGACCACGTTGAGTTTCTCGTTTGGCAAGATAACCGGTCGGTAGATTTACTCAATGTTCTCGAGCGCGCGACACGCCATTGCCCATGGTCCGGGTCACTCTGGTCCCACCGGTTATTGACACTCGAAGCGGAAAACAAGCCATTCGAGGACCTTGAACTTGTCAAGCACACAGCCACTGGGTCTGGACTTCTGGAGCACACTGACTTGGATGAACTCATCAAGGTTCAGCTCGCCTGGTGTGGATATCTTCGGCGAAGGGCTTTCGATGACCCCAGAGCAACGGAGGATGATGTTGATGTTGCCGAGGTCGGAATTCGATCGGCTTTGGAGTTCGTCCGAGAGGTCGGCATGAAGAAGCATGGCAGAGAATGGACGGACCGGAAGTACCGTCTTGAGCGCGCCCACATCAAGTTCTGGCTCCAACGCGGTGACATCGATCAAGCCCGGCAGATTCAGGACTCTATCACCAAGTACCAGGAGGACTCTTACGACTTCTGGTATCGCTGCTACATATTCGAGATGCTCCTGTGGGCGCCACACGCAACGAGGGGCAAGCAAAATGCAGGTCAACCGTTATTGCCGCCTACCCAGGCCACTGCCATTTTGGAACGTGGTATGAAGCGCTTACAAACAATTGATCAACCAGAGCTGCTCATCGACATGTACATTAGCCATTGCGAGCAGCACGAATCGGCGTTAAAGGTACGCAGCGCGACGATTGAGCGACGACGAGCTGAGCGCATCGTGTCCGTCCGGAGGGAGAAAGAGCGAGCACTTGCGGCCGCTGCAGCTCCGCCACAAGACACGCCAGATAGCCAAGTCGGAGACAGCTCGA